TTGGTCCTTGAAAAAATATAATTTTATAAATCTACGCCTTTTTTCCATCCTCTTGATTTTATCTTTTATATATTTTTTCTCATCTAAATATGTTGTGCATCCTTGCAACGAAACATTAAAATCACTTTGGCAAAAAATTCCATATGTGTTTTTTCTTGTATTATTTTCCTTTTCATCTGCGCCACGTGCAAGCTTCTCTAATGTGATTTTGTTAGAACTGGAACAACAAACAATGAACAAAAAATAAAAACTAATTAAAAAATTAGTTAATTACTAAGTGGTTTGTTGTGAAATTCAAGGAAAAACAACAGCTACAAACTGTTGGAGTCATTAATGAATTAGCCAGGCTGCCAGCTAGTCAGCAACAACCAAACTAACTTTGTAAGAAGCCGCACAATATTCCTGCCATCACACATCCGCACACAGAGCGTACACAATTATGGGCAACAATTACAGCATCCAGTGGGGGTATTAAGATGATAGTGGCTGCTGACTTGTGAGACCACATAGCCATTCGCTCTTTGAATCATCTTCTCTAAAATAATTATGTTGAGGAAAATTTGTTTGAATTGGCCAACGTATCTACCTTCCGATGCACTATGCACTTTTTACGTTTATTTTGGCATAAACTCTAATTTTAAAGCTATTGAATTGAAATTTGGTTTGTATAAATTTTTTATGCTCCCAAGATGACCTACCAATTTTCATATGATTTGGGGCACTATTTCATATAGCTACCATATAGCCGATCTGACCGATTTGTCCCGACTTTTTTGTTTATAAAGCTATTGAAGTGAAATTTGGTTTGTATGCATTTTTTATGCTCCCAAGATGACCTACCAATTTTCATATGATTTGGGGCACTATCTCATATAACTGCATATAACAAAATGTTTGTTATATGCAGTTTTTAGCCTAGGTCCAGCATCTTCATAATTTAATTTTGGGCAACATTTTTTTTTTTTTGGGGAAACATACTGCTCATCCATTACTATAATTATAATTTTGCTAAGCCATTTTGAATGTTTAGTTTTAAATCGCTCTAATTTACGGTAGAACTTTGGCAAATGCTTTTTTATATAATTAAAAAAACTTTAACTTGTTTCGATATCAAACGCATTTGGTCTTCATTTAAACTGATATTATTGATATTCTGTAGCACATATTTCACAAGTGCATCTTCTGAGCGATTTTTACTGCTCCAAATTTCAATAAGAGCTGTATGGGCAAACACATGTTTATCAGTAAAAAACACGAGTTGGCACAAAATAGCACAAAAAAGGCTAGTTACTCCTTAATTAACACACTTTTGTTAATAACTTGGCATTTACACCTTTTTGCAATGCTTTGCCATTCACAAGTTACACTCCACGGAACAAAACTACAATTTATAGATTTTATATAAAGTTATACATAAACAAAACATTTCACAGTATTACAACAACAGACAAATATGACAAAAAGGGCATATCGTCTTAATTTTACATACCTGCACTAACGTTTTCCATAATTACACATTTTAATTTTTTTCAATTTTGTCAAATTACAAGCACTCGAACTTAGCTGATTTTTACCGTCAGTTGTACCAAAACAATGTGACTTTCAAACTGCTGACTTTTAAAGCTCGCCAGCAAAAAAAAAAGGTTGCCACCCGCATTGATATTGAATGTTTTTTTTCTAATATGGGTGTCTACATTTAGGAAATCAGTTACATTTCAAAATATGAAAACAAAAAAAATTTGACTTTATGCCAAAAAATCACACTTTTTACCCATAGTGCGATGGAGGAATAGGTTAAGTTATCCCTCTATTTTAATTTGAAATCTTTCTAATCCACTTCAATCCCAATCTACCACTCCACATGCTGTTCTAGATTATTCACTTAACCATAGCACACAACACGTTCCGTTTCGAAAATCGCCAAAACAATAGAATATCTGAACCCAGGTAAAAATCATGGCAAAATGAGGAAAACGTAAAAATTATTCTTCTCCCCAACCGAAATAAAATAGCGTAGCCACATCTCAAGCTTCCCCAAAAATGTTTAAACAATTAACTAACAATTCTACGGGAATAAGGAAACAGCATGAAAATAACACCACTTTAGGAAGCTACCATAGAATTGCAATGAACTTTTAGTGTAATATTGCTCAAAACAACAACAACAAAAACAACGACCACGTCGAAACGACACCCATAAGAAAAGCAAAACGTTAGTGAATAAAAGTGAAAACTACTACTAACACACTCTGCTCTGCAGGTTGGAGGGATAAGCAGTGCTTTGGTGCCCGGCATCACCTCTACCAAGCGAAGGTGTTTGTTTTTCTGTTTTCTATTCTCGTTTGCCGGATAAGGAAACAAAAACAAACACTCACCAACACAGACACACACTCACACAAACAGTTCTTCAAACTTTATAAGCTTGAGATTATTAGACTTATAGTAGATGTACTTCAGTGCAACTTCTTTGGCTTGGCTTATTTTCCTCAGTCGGTCAGGTTTGTGAAGGGAGAGGGTGAGTGCTTAGGATGGCTTTGATGGCTAGGTGGGTGATCCAGACTCCTACGTGTGGTAGTGAGTTTCTTTTATAATGAAGACGTGTTATTGAATGGACGACGGCGACGCCACCGCCATCGTCGAAGGAACAGGAAAAAAGTTATCAAAACTTTTATACGAAGTCGGCGCAATGAAAGGTATTGTGCAAATCATTCAAATCAACGTAATCAGTGTGGCAGATGCACAATTTTGCGGAAAATGAACTTTGGAAAAAGTTTTGCATTTTCACAGCATCGCAGGATAGGGTGTTTAGGGGTGGATGGAAAGGGAAATCATATAGAAAGGAAGATAATATAAGCCCACTATAATCTATAATGCATACCTTTATTTTTTCAAGGACCAAAACAAGGGGTGGATTTTTTAAAAGATATTTTTTAAGGCATGGATCTTTAAAGAATATTTTTTCACGGCGTGGGTTTTTTAAAGAATATTTTTTCAAGGCGTGGATTTTTTTAAGAATATTTTTTCAAGGCGTGGATTTTTTAAAGAATATTTTTTTCAAGGCGTGGATTTTTTAAGAATATTTTTCAAGGCTTGGATTTTTTAAAGAATGTTTTTTTCAAGGCTTGATTTATAATGAATATTAATTCAAGGCATGGATTTTTTAAAGAATATTTTTTTCAATTTTTTAATAGAATTTTTAAAGAATACTTTTTTCAAGGCTTGATTTATGGACCATTAGAAGGCGTGGAGTTTTTAAAGAATATTTTTTCAAGGAGCATTAGAAGGCGTGGATTTTTTAAAGAATATTTTTTCAAGGACCATTAGAAGGCGTGGATTTTTTAAAGAATATTTTTTCAAGGACCATTAGAATGCGTGGATTTCTTAAAAAATATTTTTTCAAGGACCATTAGAAGGCGTGGATTTCTTAAAGAATACTTTTTTCAATGACCATTAGAAGGCGTGGATTTCTTAAAGAATACTTTTTTAAATGACCATTAGATGGCGTGGATTTCTTAAAGAATACTTTTTTCAAGGACCATTAGAAGGCGTGGATTTCTTAAAGAATACTTTTTTCAAGGACCATTAGATGGCGTGGATTTCTTAAAGAATACTTTTTTCAAGGACCATTAGATGGCGTGGATTTCTTAAAGAATACTTTTTTCAAGGACCATTAGAAGGCGTGGATTTCTTAAAGAATACTTTTTTCAAGGACCATTAGATGGCGTGGATTTCTTAAAGAATACTTTTTTCAAGGACCATTAGAAGGCGTGGATTTCTTAAAGAATACTTTTTTCAAGGACCATTAGAAGGCGTGGATTTCTTAAAGAATACTTTTTTTCAAGGACCATTAGATGGCGTGGATTTCTTAAAGAATACTTTTTTCAAGGACCATTAGAAGGCGTGGATTTCTTAAAGAATACTTTTTTCAAGGACCATTAGAAGGCGTGGATTTCTTAAAGAATATTTTTTCAAGGACCATTAGATGGCGTGGATTTCTTAAAGAATACTTTTTTCAAGGACCATTAGAAGGCGTGGATTTTTTAAAGAATATTTTTTCAAGGACCATTAGAAGGCGTGGAATTTTTAAAGAATATTTTTTCAAGGACCACTAGAAGGCGTGGATGTTTTAAAGAATATTTTTTCAAGGACCATTAGAAGGCGTGGATTTTTTAAAGAATATTTTTTCAAGGACCATTACAAGGTGTGGGTTTCTTAAAGAATACTTTTTTGAAGGACCATTAGAAGTCGTGGATTTCTTAAAGAATACTTTTTTCAAGGACCATTAGAAGGCGTGGATTTTTTAAAGAATATTTTTTCAAGGACCATTAGAAGGCGTGGATTTCTTAAAGAATATTTTTTTCAAGGACCATTAGAAAGCGTGGACCATTTCAATACGTGGATTTTGAAAAAATAATTTTCAGGTACCATTAGAAAGCGTGGACCGTTTCAAGACGTGGATTTTGAAAAAATAATTTTCAAGGACAATTTCGAGGAGTGGATTTTTTTAATAATTTTTTTAAAAGAATTTAAGATGTGGATTTTTTACAGAATAGTTTTTCAATAACAAATCGTGGATCTTTATTTTCTAATGCCTGAATGTTTAAATTTGTTTTCTTTCACCTTTAATAAACAACACCCTTAGCATCCACACTTTACAGCTTAATGTAAAAGTTTCAACTTCTTGTCTTAGCCCAGTTTAGTGTTCCAATTTGAGCTACACTTTTTTACTACTACTACTCGTACTACTTAGTCTTCATCTTCGTCTTCTCAAGTTGTAATTAAATTTTGGTACGGTAGAGAGGGAGAGATGCATTTATATATTTCATTTTCATGCAGTTTTCTATAATTTTGAACAAATGAAACTAATTTAATTTTGTTGTTTGCAAAACTTTGTATTACCAGAACAAAAAATAATAAAAACTATTTATAAATGCTCATTTTTTATACTATTTTTGTGCTTAATAATATATATATTTTTTGTTCTTGTTTTTTCGTTACAGTAATTATTCTGGTTCTAAAGAGACCTCAACGCCTCAAACAACCCAAGCCCGACCCGGCAGTGCTGCCGGTGGCAGTGCGGGTAGCCAAAGTGCTGGCATGGTTGCCACCGGCTTCCAGGAGCCAAATGCTGCAGCAGCTGCTGCGGCCGAAGTACGACAGTCAATGTTGACAACAAAGAAACCAATAACGTATGATCGTTTTGAAGATTTAGTTAAAATTGTTAACGATTATACGGGGACGCTGCAATATGGTCATGTCATTGTCGACAATGATGGTAATGATGATGGCAAAAATCCATCACTGGGTGAATTAATGAAAATGAAACCGAGGTAAGTGGAGCAATTTTTTAATAACAATGGAAATTTGAATATTTTGTAATAAGTACTTTTGAGGGAGGGGTTTGGGTATAAATTAATAATTATGAAAATAATGAATAGAACTGAATAGAATCAATGAAGCAGTTTAAGAATCAATGATAAATAATTACTGGGATGTGTCATGAATAGATGCGAAATGATAATATAAGATATATCTGACCTGATGTATACTCTAGACTGATTTTATATTTAAGAGAGAGAAAAAGAATCGGTCTAATATTATTTTTGAAAATTATGAACCTGTATCACATATAATCATCCACATAAACGAACGTTCTGGAAATACTGGAAATGGAATGAGGTCCTTATGCAGTGAATTCATATAGTAACATGCTAAAGGCACAACAAAAGCATCCAGCAGATATTTTTTTGACGATTTCCATCATTGCGTGATTCCTTGCTGATTAACATCTGTGAACTGTGTGCTTTCTTGGAGGAGGAACTTTCCTATCTTACCCATCGTTCTCATCTTCACCCAAAGGTAAGATGAGAACGATGGCGCACTGATTTTCAAGAAAAGAAAAACGAAAAAAAAACGAAATATATAACTACAGACACTTGCATTCTAATATTGGATAAAAATCTACATCTAGGCACAAGGCGTGGAATTTTTAAAGAATACTTTTTCAAGGACCAAAACAATGCATGGATTTTGAAAAGAATATTTTTTCAAGAAACAACACAAGGCGTGGATTTTTTAAAGAATATTTTTTCAAGGACCAACACAAGGCGGGGATTTTTTAAAGGATATTCTTCAAGGACCATCAGAAGCATTGATTTTTACAGAATATCTTTCTATGACCAACACAAGGGCTGGATTTTTTTAAAGAATATTTTTCAAGAACCATAATTAGCGTTGGTTTTTTCAAGAATATTTTTTAAGAACCGTTACAAGGCGTGAATTATTTAAAATATTTTTCAGGGATCATTACAAGATGAGAACGATGGCGCACTGATTTTCAAAAAAAAAGTCTAAAAGAAGAATGGATTTTAAACAAATGCTAGGCATTGATTTTTTAAATCATATTTTTTCAAGGACCATTACAAAGCGGTTAGTGGACACTATGTGGTTCTGAGGGCAGAAACTCATCTGTATATAATCAATAGAAATTAGACCCTCTATTGGCTGTTACACATAGCAGGCCATTTGTGGACCTGCAATTGAGGACCTCCTCTATAGAGTTCATGTAGATTTTCAAGATTGTTTATGTACTATATATATTTACCATGTCTTTGGACTTGTTGTGGGGTTTTTATAGATATAAAATCCTAAATGGATCTTCGTCCAAATTAATGTGGGTCTACTATAAATAGAAAGTCATATGTGAATCTTCTTTAGATAAGGTCCTTCGATAGGTCTTCTTTCGATGAAAATTGATGTGTACTTTGTAGGGGTGTCCATTCCATGGCAGAAGACATTTGGGTCTTAAATATATATAGCCTATCTGTTGGTTTACTCTAAGCGGAAGGCTTTCCATAGGTCTTCTAAAAATCAAATAATTAATGTACGTATTCTATAGATTCTTCTATGGTCCTTGGAGGTCTTCTGTGGGTTTTATATAAATTAAAGATTTTGTGGGGTCTTCAAAATACAGAAGACCGTATGTCTTCAATATAATATATTCTCTGGGTAAATTTTAGATAAAGAACGACCTGTAAGTTTTCAATATGTGGAATATCGTATGTTTGTATCCAATGAATAGAATATCTACTATGGGTTCTTTATGATTTTCCCAGAGTCTTCAATAGACCCTCTTTGAGTCTTTAGAGATACACTTATATTTGTTTTCCTTAAATATAGGATCCTCTATAGCACTTCAATGAGTAATACCCTTTCTGGAAGTCTTTAATAGGTATGAGAAGACCCTACATGGGTGTCGGTAGGTGCATAACCATATGTGGATTTTCAGTAGATGTGTACCTAATGTGGTTCTTCAGTAGGTGTAACATCCTCTGTGGTATCTGTTAGTTACAATTCCTGAAAAGTGTGTCCCTTATATTTACTTTATATAACCACCATTAGGAAATTAGTGTGAGAGGAAATTAGTGTGAATTATTTTCATTTTTCATATTTTTTATTTTTATTTATTTTATTATGCAGTATATCCAAACATTTTGAGAAAACAGAAATGACCACCAATAAAAATCAAAAATAATGTAACTTAAGAAAAATTGAAATCTTGCGGAAGGAGTACGAATATTTCCTCACCTCCGGCTTCAATTCTTGACAACATAATCTAAAACTGACAAGCATTTGAAATCACTGAAACTCCTCTTAAGAAATCCTACCACATAAAGAAACTCTAGGACATATATTTTCAAAAATGTCCCAACTCCTTCGGCATCTTTATCCCTATCACTTCAAATCATTCAAAGTGTCGATTCTTCTTGAAATTATCTTAATATATTTCACTTAAGCTCTTGTGATGTAAAATCTTAAATCTACAAATATTATCCCACCCGAAAAAAATACCCTTATCTACATTGTGAACAACTAACAAACACTTTGGCATGCCAAGGATTTACAATGGTATGCAGCAGCAACAGCACCAACAACAACAACATTTTTTTATATATTTTAAGAAATGTCATTTGGTTCAACACTCTTCGATACTATTCATGCAAATTGAAATGCAAACATAATCTTTCTGGTTAAAATACAATCTCTTTCGTTTGCTATAAGGAATACAGCAGCAGCTACAACAACGACAACAACTACAGCTACAACAAATAAAGAATAAAACGTTTTCTCTTTCTGGAATTGTGGAAGAAGATGAAAAAACTCACATACACACACACACACACATAGAAAAACATGTAAATCTTTGAAATGGCAAATTGAGCTGCATATCGTGTTGAATTGTTTGAAAAATCTTTTGCTTGCACATACAGCATAGGTAGAATGAATGATTACCCAAAATTAAAAATTAGATATATTTTTGTGAGAACAAAAAAATATAATCCAAAATTACAATAAATAAATTATTGAGAATATGTTTCCAGATTATATCAAGGTATCGCATTATCCTATATTTATGGGGTATATATAGAGGTTTTTATAAGAGGACGACTCTCTGAAAACTATTTCGCCTACTTATAATCATTGTAGCAGTGACCCATGACTATTTATATTATACATATGTATATTTATATATAAAAATATCAATATACATATATATTTTTTCTTATTCTACAAAACATTCCATCGGATTGTATATGGATAAGATATTCGTGTACTTGGCAACGTATGACATCTTTAGTGAGCGTTTCTTTTTTTATTCTTCTTCACTACAATGACAGATAAAAAGATACACTTGAAATGCACGAAATTTTTGTACTTGCACACACACACACAGACAAACATATAATGTTGTACAAAATTTGTATAAAGATATATGCAAATAGTTTAACATACCCTAACTAACAAACAGCAAAACATATATTTGTTTAGACACATTGAACCTACTCTGGCGCAGATCGTTACTTTGAAAATTGGATATAGATTATTTTTGAGATTTTTTCATGGGAATTATTCAAGTGTTGGTTGCATTCAGTGTTAGATGTATTGGATACATTGTGCACTTAGGCGATTATGGGAATCAGATCAAAATCTCAATTTGAAAATAAATATATAATAATATTTTTAGTGATAATGTGTTATATATAAAAATTACTGATTTGCTATAAATTAAAAGATGGTGTCCTGATTTTTTAACGGAATTGTTAAATAAAAAAATAATTGTTAAAAAAAATAATTACATCGTGACCATTTTCATGCTATAGTTTTCTACAACTTTCGGAGTTGATTATCACTACAAGTGTGAATCGATGAATTTCACGCATAGGCTTTAAACGGTGGAAATGGCAAAGACTTCCGTACAGTCCAGACTTGACCCCCAGTTACTCAATTTTATTCCCATACATCAAGAAAAAAAGTGTGGTCAGCGATTTTCTTCGCCAAGAGATAGTGATATACATCAAGTTGTTGGCCTAAATAGTGTTTTGAAGGTGTCTCAATCGGATTACATCGATAATTGGTATTTCTCGAATAAGGTATTCTGTGTGACTTCTATAGTTAAAAGAACTGGGTCTTCAATATACGGAGGACCTTTTTGGGAATTCAACATACAGAAGGTATTTTGTCGATCTTCTTTGGGTATAAAGTCTTTTTGGTGTCTTTAATGTATAAAATATCTTCTATGGGTATAAATCGGGGTTCCAAAGAGTAGAAATAATACCCTCTATGAGAATTCAACAGATAGAACAACCTCTGTGTGCTCTTAATAAATAGAAGATAATCTGTTGATCTTCCTACAATAGTCTTCATAGGATCCTTGGTAGTTGATAAATTAATTGAAACCTCTATGTGGGTCTTGATGGTAAATAGGTAAAATAATAAGAAATTTTATAGAAACCACACCGCCCGCGGGTTTTCAATCAATCACTGTGGATAGATAGAATACTCTTTAGAAATCTTGAGGACGCTCTGAAAATATTGAGGACACTCTGAAAATATTAGGTTGGGGAAAAAGAAATCCATTAGGCCGGTCGTCGAAAATGTCGATAAAATCGGAGAAATTATCGAAGTTGACCGGCATGTTAGCAGTCGTAACATCGCTCAGGAGCTAAAAATCTGTTTTAAACCATTTACGCATTGCAAAACTTATATCATCAAGCTCGACTCGAAAGAGTATAAATAATCACTTCAAATTACTTTGAAATGATCACACTGCCCTTACAAGGCAAAAATTTAAATAACAAAAATTAATTTCAGCTGAGCACGGCTAGGGCTCGAACTTAGGTCCTCGGAGTAACACAAATGTTGCCAGACCACTTAACGTTCTGAGCCATCAACACACTTCCAAAACGGTTGCGCATAAACATGTGTATACCATGGAAGCAATTGTAGGTGTGTGGATTAATTATCCATCGCTACAACAAAAATCTGCTTT